TGCGCCATTTGTGGTATTTTCTAAAACGCGCTGTTAAGACAGCAGGTAAAGGTTGGTCTGTGTTCTGTCGGAGCTGCCTGCGACGCGCTGATGAGATCCAAAAAGATCGAAATCGCGATCCGCGTCTGGCAGTTTCGACAGAATACAGACCACTTCGAATTATTTTGTTAAATTGAAATAGTTTATAAATATGTATTTTCTAATATCATTCCTGTTTATTATTATTTTACGTACAACCAAAGGCGAATCTAACTTGACACAAATGATGCACTTAGTGTCGGATTTCCGACTCATGGAGTGACCCATCATTTTAGTTATGTATGTTACAGCCCGGTATACATAACCCATACGGGACATCGGTTTATTTATGTTAATTAGCAGGTTATCAATGAAAAACAAAAAAAAATTTAATGTTCTTTATTTAGAAAAAATTATATTTTATTATAAATCGAAAATATGCAATATAATATACTTTATTATATTTGTCAGAGGAACAAGTTTGTTTTAATATACTTGGTGATTAAATCAGAATAAAATCCTTGGCACATTTTTTTATATTCACCTTAGTTATCAACATCGCCTTCAGAACTGGAATCTCTAATCGGGGGTTTTGAGAAGTCCACAATTTGTTCATAAGAGAAAATACTCTTTCTACTGAGGCAGGGAAACAAAAAACATATTCAATTATTGAAGAGTTGGTGTTAAATCACAATTGTTTTGCATTTCTATGATTTAACTTAATATTTAATTAATATTTATTGATAATAATAGCTAATTCTATTAACTTCAAAGACTTACAAAAGAATGAGTGTGGTTTGATTGGCCTTATAGTTTTGGAGTTGATTTGGCGTAAGCAACAGTAAATCCATAAATAAGTTAATAAATAAACTATTCCCTTTTATCGTAACTTTCTTTGCTCCTCTTACCGCAAAATTTACACCATACCATATGTAATACAACACTTTTACAATACAGCAGGAGAAGCTCCAACATGAATTAAAACACAAAAGTTTTTATGTTCAAGATTGCTTGTTGGCCTGAAAGTGTTCGAATACTTCCACCCAGCGAGTTTTTGTGGAAACATTTAAATTATTTCATTCTGTTATTTTTTTACTATGAATGAAATAATGAAAATTCGTCAAATATTTCTGTATCTTTATTACAATCAATATATCTCTCTTCAATCAGACCATCCAGTGCTTTTGGAACGATTTTTAAATGTTCCCAATGAAATATCTCCATTTCATCGGTAAGAGAGTAAGTCCACTGTTCCAGATATTCACGGCTTGTTTTATAAAATTCTGTAGCCGTACTATCACAAATTTTCATTAATATCAGAGTCAATATCTTTCAATTTCACCATTAAACTACGAAGCGTAAATGAAAGAAACTGATTGGTCTGTTCCTTAACCAAATTGACTGACGCGTCCGGCAAACTCCATAATTTCCACACGGTTTCGGAAAACGGGACAATTGTGTGTCCCGGAGCAGTTTTTTGTGTACACCGGGTCCGATAACCGAAAAAAGGAAAGATCCCAATCAAAACGGGACGTATGGTCACGTTAGGAACATATAGCAAATTTGTAAGCGTTATTTAAAATATTAATGTATCGAAAATTGGACGACCTTATGATGATGATGATGATGATGATCGAAAATAGTTAAATAAAGGTAGTAAAAGTGTGAAAAGGTGTTTGAATGCGTGACAGTATTATAAAAACCAAACCAAAGTACAATAGTATGTGTAAATCAAAAGAAAAACGATTAAGTAGGTATATAATTGCATTTAATTAATTTATTTACTCTTACATTTTCAGTTCATTGAAATAACGATTTCGTGAATGTTCAAACAAAACCAATTTTATCTCATTACAGTTCAAATAATAATTCAATCTAAAAAGGTTGCTTGCAATTTCCCCATTTCATTGTCCTAAACCGAAACGCTAGGTCCGGGATTCAATCCCTTTTTATCTCATTTCGTTTAAACTTTCTTTCTGTACCCTACACACGGAGAAAATGAAAAAGGAAAATTTACTTAAACATTAAAGCGATATTTACAATTTATTTCACTATCCCGTTGCTTCGTAAGCGAAAATAATAAAAATTACAATTTGGACCTGAATTTGTAAAAATAAAATCCCAGCAGAAATAAATTTACTAAGTAGTTTAGTTGATATTACAAATGTAATTGTAATATTAGGAAACTTGAAATAATTTTTTAAAAAAGATGTTAAAATTGAGATTATTACAAGTTGCCTAATAAATTCTGCTATTTCTTTGGCAAATTCAGTCATTTGCAGTCGAAAATTATAATTTTTGTGTTGTCATAAAAATTTAGTTTTCTTCGTGCAGCGAGACAAACGGAATTGAAGTGTTTTAAAGCACA